GTGGAGGTGGATAGCAGGGTAATTTTGTGACCCTAAGCACTCCTATATTTACACCCTATGCACTATTGTAATAATCTTTGTACAAAATTTGTCTTCTGATGTATATTTGAAAACTACTATCTCACTGATCATTAATATTCTTGCGTGATGTATGTATGTGATGTGCATTAATGAGTAATGGATATAAGATGGAATTATGATTAAAGTGTATTTAAACCGGGGGAGTTGGGAGTTGTCTGCTTTAGACAAAGAAACATATATTTGATTCTCTAACCAGCCCAGTCTTCAGGCAAAGGCAATAAAGGTCCATTTCTACATAATAGATAATCAAAGCTAGTAAGATAACAAAGGGGGGAAGAAAGAGTGTAGAGCTTCCTTCACCACCAAACTCTAGGTTGCCTTTCTCACAGCTTGAATAAACGTTACTTTGGAGGGGGTGGGTAACCATCAGCAGAATTCATTTAAAAGATGTACTGGTCTGTAAAGACGGGGGCTGAACCTCAAGTGATAAGCAATTGAATCAACTGACTGTATACAATTTTACTTTATTATTAAAGTGTATAGAGTGAAGTCTCTTCTAAAATGTCATTAACACTATATGTGGAAATATGGATATTTAATGATGATATGCTTTAAAGTCTTTGGCTAAACAGGGAAAAACATCTTCTCTCCCGCTGAGAGAAGGGAGCTATTTACCTGTCTCCTATGTAAATTAAAGCATGGTGGAATCAAAACAATGGCAACTCATTTACATACAGGGGGATGGGAAACCCACAGAAAGGGAAGAACAGAATGAGGTCATCCTGCCTCATGGAATAAAGTCATTGAACTTTGGAAGATATAAGAAAAGACAGAAGCCATGGAAACTTTTTTTAAGACACCATAATAGAGGTTCAACTTAAATGTATACCCCAAATTAAAAAACATAATAAGAGAACCAAAGAAGTGCCACCGTGGCTAAACAACAAAGTAAAAGAAGCAGTAAGAGGCAAAAAGGCATCCTTTTAAAAGTGGAAGTTAAATCCTACTGAGGAAAATAGAAAAGAGCATAAAATCTGGCAAGTGAAGTGTAAAAATATAATCCTCAACTGTGAAGACAGATGCAAAGAATTCATTTAGTTTCTTCGCAATGGCCTTATCATCCTTGAGTGCTCCTTTAGCATCTCGATCATCTAGCTAGCCAAAGACTCAAAAAGTAATAACAAAATGTTTTAAAAGTACATCAGAAGCAGGAAGTCTGCTAAACAACCAGTGGGGCTGCTGGATGATCGAGATGCGAAAGGAGCACTCAAGGACGATAAGGCCATTGCAGAGAAACTAAATGAGTTCTTTGCATTGGTCTTCACAGCTGAGGATGTGAGGGAGATTCTCAAACCTGAGCCATTATTTTTAAGTGACAAATCTGAGGAACTGTCCCAGATTCAGGTGTAATTAGAGGAAGATTTGGAACAAAGTGATAAATTAAACAGTAATAAGTCACTAGAACAAGATGATGATCTTCGAGTGGTGTCCATTTAAAGGAGATTCTTATGGAGAAATCCCTCCAACCTGATTTGGAGACAGGCAGAACAAAACCCTCTCCTAGCTGCTCTCCAACCAGGTCGGAACCGACCAAGAGCACAGCTCCACCTTCCCACAAGAAGAGGAAGAGAGCCTTGACCTCCCCACACAGGGAAACGGGCAAAAAGAAACAGTCCCCAGCGAGGGCCTTGCCAGCGGTGCCAACTGCCTTAAGGATCAGCACCTGCGATGTTCCTGGCACCGGGCATATAGTGCAGAAAAGTAAGGAGTTAAGACCATGTAACGGCCAGCACCAAAGGCCCTGGCACCCACACTGGCTTCGGTGCCATCTGCGCACATAGGCCCAGCAACAACAATGCTGTTGCCACTGGCGACTCCACCAGTACTGACACACCATCCGGCACTGGCTGACAGTGCCATCATTGGACCACCGGCCCCAGCCAAGACCAAAGACAAACTGCTTAAACCAATGGCTTCTGACTCTAAATTCTCGGTGCCGCACCCTCTGGCACAGACACAATTTCTAACACATTAAGACATCTCAGTGGCCCTGGTGCCAGATTCGCCTCTGCTCAGTACGGAGGGCTCACTCTTGATCCAGCCACCCTCTCCTGCTGAATGCTTTGTCTTCACAGACAGCAATGACGATGACCACAGAGACACAGTCTTTTCTCCACCCGACCCTCCTCCATCACAACAAAGACCACCTCACAGGAATGTGCATCACAAGGACCAACCCCAATTCCCATGGTTTGTTCCCCCATGGATGGGACCTCAACTACCATACCCCATGCAATGGGCGTCTTGGGACCCATGGGCACCCTGGAAGGCCCACTACTCCTGCACCTCCTCACCCCATAGAGCACAGATCCTCTCTCCACCTGGATCGCCAATGCCATCCGCAGCTAGAGCCTTTGAGCAGTCACATGAGGAAGTGGCGGAAGAGCCAGCATCTGACATGGAGTCGCCCAAACGCAACTCCTCTTCTTCGCCTGATGAAGCTGTCATGCTACCTCCACCAACTATGACAGATGACTTCAAGCAATTTCAGGAATTATTTAAGAGGGTTGCAATCAGCCAGGACATTCCATTGGAGGAAGTACAGGAGAATCAACATAAACTCTTGAAGAGTCTCCAACCTTCGGCATCCTCAAAAGTTGCACTCCCCATAAACGATGCCATATTAGAACCGACTGACACTATCTGTCAGACACCAACCTCCATCCTGCCAACCTGTAAAAGGGCTGACTGGAAATATTATGTCCCAGCCAAGGGCATGGACTTTTTATTCTCACACCCGCAGCCCAACTCCCTCGTGGTTGAAGCAGCTAACCAAAGGGCTAAAAAACCTCATTACCGGTCCACACCCAAGGAAAAAGACCTCAAACGCCTTGACCTCTTAGGTCGCAAGGTTTACACATCCTCTCCTTTCCAATTTAGAATTGCCAACTATACCACTCTTCTCGCTAGCTATGACTTTGATAATTACAACAAACTTTTTGAATTTACCTCCGACATCAAAGAGGACCGAAGAGCGGATTTTAAATCAGTCCTTGTAGAGGGACAGCTAGTATCCAGAATAGTACTTCAAGCATCTCTGGACATGGCTGACACCGAAGCTCACACCACAGCTACTGCGGTGGTAGTATATATGGCCTGGCTCTCCTCATCTGGCATCCCTAAAAAGCTGCAGACCAAAGTGGAGGATTTACTGTTTGACAAAGACAAACTTTTTTCTGGGAAAACCAATGAAGTCCTCCACATGATGAAAGATTCCAGGGCTACCCTCCCAACACTAGGGATCTACACCCCTCCTTCCAAGAGATAAAGATACCAGCCTTACCAGAGCTATTGCCTGAAGCAATACAACTGCACAGTCCAAGCAGTATGATACTGGGAGGTCCCGTGGCAAGCCTAACAGACGTCGAAAAACCCAGTCGGAACAACCTGTGTCCCACCCGTCAGGCAACAAACCACAATTTTGAAGTCTTGGTCAAAGGTCTGAGTGACCACTCCTTACCACCAGCACCTACTTGCCCTTTTGGCCATGGCCTCCACTGCTTCCACCACGCTTGGCGAAACATCACACAGGATCACTGGATCCTGGAAATAGTGCAGTTGGGCTATTCCATCCCATTTACTTTATGGCCCCCTACTCTTCACCCTTCCCCGTCACTCTTCAGCGACCCCTCTCACAAACACCTGCTTCGGGAAGAAGTAACTCACCTACTCCTCTTAGGTGCAGTGGAATGAGTTCCAAGACAACACAGAGGGAAGGGATTTTACTCCGACTATTTCTTGATCCAGAAGAAAAGCAGAGGATGGCGATCCATTCTAGACCTGCGACAACCCAACAAATTCACCTGCTCCCAAAAATTCAGAATAGTCACGTTGGGCATGATAATACCGGCGCTGGAATGAGGGTACTGGTTCTCAGCCCTCGACCTACAAGATGCATATTTCCATATCTCAATACACCGAGCACACAGATGATTCCTACAGTTCACTTCCAATACAGAGTGCTCCCAGTTTGCGACCTGGTACCAAGTCGTGGAATGTAAAGCACTGGGTTGCAGCAGCTCTGGTCAGTACCGCCGACCAGGCCATTAAAAGTCCCATTGGCGGTGCTGCCCAGCTATGGCAGGCTAGTCCATGCCTGTTCTTACACCATGCTGCACCCCGGAAGTACCGGCTTCACACTCCCATTGACCGGTTCCTGGCCAATGGGAGCTGGGGGGCGGGGAGGTACCTGCGAGCAAGAGCTGCGCGGAGCTGCTGGTGGGCCTCCACCTAGGAGCCAAACCTGCTGCTGGCCGCTTCCGGGGCGCAGGGTGGTCAGCGGTGCCAGGATAGGCAGGAAGTCTGCCTTAGCACCCCCATTGTGCCGCTGACCGGGAATCGCCCAAGGTAAGCCCACATCCCAACCCCATGCCCCAGTCCCCAGCCCTGAGCCCCCCCCCAAACCTGGAGCCCCTTCCTGCACACCAAACCCCTCATCCCTGACCCCATCCTAGAGCCTTGACCCCCTCCAGCACCCCTGCCCCAGCCCAGAGCCCCCTCCCACACCCCAAACCCTTCATCCCCAGCTCCGTTGGGTCACGGGCATCAACAATTTTCTTCAACTGGATCACCAGAAAAAACGTTTGAAAACCACGGCTCTAGTTCTTTTCAGAGCTGATAGCCAGGGGAGTACTTATTGCACATACTTCATCAGTGGGTGAAGATGGTATAGACAAAGCTGGAGCGGAATATATCATAGTTTATAAAAACTGTTTTTAAAAGTGTAGTTCTTTAACTATATGAAGATACTTCTAATGTGTATTTCTTCCCCAATGATTATGTCCCTTGTAAATAGTGTGTAGTAGCTAAATGTGGATATGACATACTGGTTAAAAAAAAATGCATTGGAACAAATATCTAGTAAAGCTTCAGACCAGGCTTCACCTTGTTACAAATTATTTGTTTTGTCTTGCTTTCAGTTGAAGCATCTTGTCATAATGGAGACGAAACCATGGAAACTATTGAAGCTGCTGAGGCACTTCTCAATATGGACTCCCCTGGTCCTATGTTGGATGAAAAAAGAATAAGTGAGTTTAACAGTAGTAAATCAAATTTATATTGAAGAATATAAGTCAAATCTGAAGAAATTCAATATAGTGTGGATTTTCCTATATGTATAAAAATAATATAAAAAGGTGTGGGTAGGTGAGACTTGCTGGCTTTGTTGGTAGCTTCAACATGCAACATGTCAGCTTAGGGACTCACATAAGCATAGGCTGATCAGTCTCAGAGTTGGACATTGGAGGTCATGAAAGAAAGGGAAATAAAATAGGATGTGTGTGTGAGGTTTTAAATCTAATATCATGCTGAAATGCTACAATTTATGTGGTTATTGGGTATTGTATTTCACGTTGGTAAAGTAACTGAATGAATGCAGGTTACCTTAGATATGAATGAAAATGTCATGTTCTGTTGTGATCACAACCTTCGCTTCTGTTCCAAGTATTAAATTATTCTACACTATGTTATGATGTGTGCTCATGTACAAACCACATGAACAGACTTGTTCATTTGTGGGCTGACCTATTCTGCTGTGAAGACCTTAATTATAATAATAAATTTTATGTACATTATTATGGCTGTACTTGACCTACTGAAATTTTCCCTTATAATTGGAAGTGTTTTTTAAAAGTTTATTTAATTCTGTAAAAAGCATTGATAATGTAGTCTTCTTTTTCCCTAAGCAAATATGTTTGGTACATCTGAAGATGAAATTATTGTTGCTCCTGTTACTCATGTATCTGTCACACTTGATGGGATCCCTGAGGTTGTAGAGGTTCACCAAGTTCAAGACTCTTATGTTGAATCATCAGACACTCCAGAACTTGAGCAGCCTAAGAAGAAGAAAGGTAAGATGTTCACAGGATATGCGAGTTTGGAATAGAAAGTGCTTAGAGGTATGCTTTCTTCTCCTTGTGTGTATATATAGCAGCTCTTTAACATTAGTAGGAGCTACATATGGGCATCAAGACAAAAACTAAGCTTACTCAGCTAGCTGTACGGGAAAAGTACTTTTTATTTGTTGTGACAAAGTGAGAATTATCTAGTATTTTTATGAAGCCTCAGTTTCCCTTTGTATGTTGCATTGTTCCTCGGTTGACAATGCTTCTGGAACAGCGCAGGAGGTGTGTGTATGTGTGTGGCCTTGCTGTCTGGGGGGAATAAATACAGTCATGCAAGAGCTGGCTTAGACTGACTCAAATCCAGCAAGATAGAGATGATGTCCCAAGAAATGAACAAACACCTGCCAGCAGGCAGGACTTGAGAACTGCGATCGAGAACAAAGTGTCAGGTGACTGGAAGAATGGTGGGCTCAGGAGGTTGTACCGGGGAAGACAAAGCAAAGAGAAAGAGAGAGCCAGAGATTGAGTACATCAAAGATTGGCTATCTGATTGTGGCACTGGTTTGACCAAGATGGACTATGGCTTAACTTCTGTCTCTCTGTGCTAACCTAACAACTTTCAGATTCAGTGTGCCATAGTAATAAATGGTTACCGTGTTCTGAAAAGGTCGCCTGTGTCACTGTAAGTGCTCACTGAGAGCATTGGGCCCTGGGTAGAGTATAGCCTCCCATAGGACTCTTGGTTGGCTGGATTCACTACACGGCTCCACACAGAGAGACTGGGATTGTGGGTGCCAAAGGCCCAGTCTGGGAGTCGTGGAGGCCACGGGCCTGTCACTGTGAAACTGTGTGAGTCCTTAAGCGCTGGTATACTAAAGAGGCCACTTTCAGGAGACTGGTAACAGGCTGGGTTATAGACCAGACCCTGTGACTCCAGAACACTTATAAACTGAGCAAATGTGCTCAGATTCTAAAAGTAGTTGGGATAGATAATATGGAATCATCATACCCCACAAAATGTGGATCTTTGTTATGCCATCTTTATAGAGACACTCTTCAAAGCAGAACCACACTGTAAGTTGTAAGGCCTTTGTCATTTAAGTGTTATAGTAGTTGCTTCTTCAGTAGCTCAAGCATTATACTATTAATTTAGTTCATTTACCTAAGGGCATGGCTACACTTGCAGATGTAGAGCGCTTTGAGTTAAACCAGCCTTCGGAGAGCGCAGTAGGGAAAGCGCTGCAGTGTGTCCACACTGACAGCAACAAGTGCACTGGCATGGCCACATTGCGGCACTTGCAGCGGCACTGGGAGCGGTGCATTATGGGCAGCTATCCCACAGAGCACCTTTTCCCATTCTGGCGGTGTGGCTTGTGGGAAGAGGGTGGGGGTTACGGGGCATTCTGGGTCCTGTTCCAACGCCCTGTGATGCATCGGTTCGCATTCCAGCAATCCCTGTGCTTCCGTCCACACTTGGTGTCATCTTTCAACGTTTTTTATACTGCGCGGTCTGTCTTCCCTTTTGGTCTGTGGGAATGGAGCCTGAACTGCTGAGGAATATGCTGACGAGTCTCGCCAGCCCGTCACGTTTGGCAGTTGAGTTACTCCTTAAGATCCAAACTGACAGTGAGGACTCTGACGATGATATCAACTCAAGTAACGTATATGACATGAGATTGCTTGTGGCATTCACGGTCATGCTCACCACCATGGAACACCACTTTTGGGCTCGGGAAACAAGCACCGAGTGGTGGGATCACATCCCATCAAGTCTGGGATCATGAGCAGTGGCTGCAGAACTTTCGGATGAGAAAAGCCACTTTCATGGGACTGTGTGATGAGCTCGCCCCCACCCTGCAGCACAAGGACACGAGATTGAGAGCTGCCCTGATGGTGGAAAAACGGGTGGCTATTGCTGTCTGGAAGCTGGCAACTCCAGACAGCTACCAATCAGTCACTAACCAGTTTGGAGTGGGAAAATCGACAGTTGGAATCGTGTTGATGCAAGTTTGCAGGGCTGTTAATCACATCCTGCTCAGAAGAACCATGACTCGGGGTAACGTGCATGAGGGGCAATAGATGGGATGCATATTCCAATTCTTGCACCAGCCCACCTAGCCTCCAAGTACGTTAATCAGAAGAGGTATTTCTCTATGGTTCTCCAGGTGCTTGTGGATCACCATGCGCGTTTCATTGACATTAACGCAGGCTGGCCTGGAAAGGTTCATGACACATGCATCTTTCAGAACACTGGCGTGTTCAGGAAGCTGCAAGCCAGGACTTTTTTCCCAGACCAGAAGATCACCATACGGGAAGTCGAAATGCCCATTGTGATCCTTGAAGACCCTGCTTACCCTTTAATGCCATGGCTCATGAAACCCTACACAGGGAACCTTGACAGCAGCAAGGAGCGGTTCAGCAACAGGCTGAGCCGATGCAGAATTACTGTGGAGTTTGCTTTTGGCCGTTTAAAGGGCCGCTGGCACTCTCTGTATGGGAAGCTGGACCTGGTGGATGACAGCATCCCTGCGGTTATATCCGCGTGCTGTACCCTCCATAACATTTGTGAAGGGAAGGGTTAAAGATTCACTCAAGCATGGATTGGAACAGCTAGAGAGCAGGGCTATTAGAGGGGCCCAGCATGGGGCTGCAAGGATTAGGGATGCCTTGAGAGAGCAATTTGAGGCTGTAAGCCACCAGTAATGTTTGGTGCCCTGCACGGGAGTGAAATGCAGTGGTTCCAATGTTAGTAGGAATCTGTGTTTGCTACACTGACTTGCAGTGCCTGTTTCTTTCCTGGGCTAAGGTATCATTTACTTTATGCAATAAACCATAAAGAATGTTTTCAAAGCCAAAAAATTCATTTATTGAAAAGAAACACAACTGCTTGGGAAACAGAAAGGGCAAGGGGGTGGGGTGGGGAATGGTACAATCACAGATTTGCATATGTCCTGTTATCATACTCAGCCTTCATGTCTGGAGTGCTGTACAATGAGTGTTGCACTTCGGGATGGCTATAATGCATGGTGATGGGGTTGAGTGCAGCGGGTAAGGGTCGTAGTTTTCAGTGCTGGGTGGTGAAGCTACAGGTGTTGGAGGCAGCTAGTGGCGATAAGAACCTGGATGTTGGGGATAGTGGATTGGATGTGACATGGGGGCACAAGGGAAAGAGTTTTGGGACAAGGGCTGCACGGGGGGGTAGGCACGGGAGTGCTCCGCCTGTATGGCTATGAGTGCCTGGCTCGAGTCCACTTGGCGCTTCATGATGCTTATCAGCCGCTCCATGCTTTGCGGCTGGAGCTCCACGCTTTTGTGCCGGTGTTCCTCATTCTGCTGGCGGATCCTCCTTTCACTCTCCGTCCACTCCTGCAATTTTTGATTCTCGTTAAGGGACTGCTGCATGACTTCATGTAGCATGTCTTCTTTGCTTTTACATGACCTCTTCCTAATTCATTGGAGTCTTTCGGCCGGTGATAACACGGACGGCTGAGATCTCAAGGTTACATCTGTAAAGGCAAAATGCAACACTTAATAGAGGCAGCATTGTTCACACCAGACAGAGCAATGATTCCCCCGTACTTCAGGGCAAGCACAGTCTACACAATAGCATAATTTGCCTGCCCCAAAGCGAGCGCACATAACCCACGGGAGCCCCAAAATGGTGAGTAAGTACTGCGTCAAGGGGGGCTGATTGTTTCACAGCCATACCGTCCTCTAGGTTTCTGTGCTTTGGGGAGAGCCAGCAGCTGCAGGGAGCCCCTATACTGAATACTCTCCCCACATTTTCCACAAGAGTTCATCCTGGAAGATATCTCGTTCCTGAGGGTGACCTTGAAACCAAGGGAGGGTCTTCTAATACAATGCGGCTTCCGCCCTGGCTCATATGCAGCTTGCCTGTGTGCAGCAATGGTCCCCCCGCCCCTCACAGCACAGTGGCGCAGACATGTTAATCTGACTGGGACAAGGACCACAGTGGCTCTCCCAAGAAATCTGCGCAAGCGCATTGCCCAGGTTCTGGATGAGACATTGAAGAGATCACTGAGGCCGATTACCGCGATGTGAGAGAGCACATCAGTGCCCTATTTCACATGTAAGCATGCATGCCCTAAACCTCCTTACCCCAAGAGCCCGCACCGAATAACTTCATTCTCAAAATAAAAGCCACTTACCGGGAACCTCCTCTGGTGTTTGTCCTTCCACAAGCATCTGCCACGGCAACTGACTACCTTCCTTCTGGCTTGAGAACAGCTCCTGGCTGCATGCATCTAGGGATGCTGGGGTGTCTCCCTCCTCCTCAGCACCCTCTCTTCCACTTGCCTCCTCCTCCTCCTCCCTTGTTGAACTGGGCTCTGAAGTGTCCATGGTGGTACTTGGAATGGTGGTGGGGTTGCCCCCCAGTATTGCGTCTAGCTCTTTGTAGAAACAGCAGGTCGCAGGGGCAGCACCAGAGCGGCTGTTTGCCTCACGGGCTTTGCGGTAGGCATTCTGCAGCTCCTTCACTTTAACCCTGCACTGCAGTGCATCCCGGTCATGGCCCCTTTCCATCATGTCCCGTAATATCTGCCCGTAGGTATCGTAATTCCTATGGCTGGAGTGCAGCTGGGACTGGACAGCTTCCTCCCCCCAAACACTGATGAGGTCCAGCACCTCGCCATTGCTCCACACTGGGGATCGCCTGGCACGTGGAGGCATAGTCACCTGGAAAGATTCGCTGAGAGCACTCCACGCCTGACTGAGTAAACAGGAAGGGGATTTTCAAAATTCCCAGAGAATTTAAAGGGCAGGTCACCTGAGGGCAGGATACTAGAGTTCAAAGTGATGACCAGAGTGGCTAGAACAGGCATTGTGGGACACTTCTGGAGGTTCATCAGAGCGCACTAACAGGCCAGGGCATCCACACTGGTGCTGCGGCGCTCCAGCGGGGGCGCATCAAACGTTATTCCACTCGCCAAGGTGGAGTACCAGGAGCACTCTAGCCGCGGAGTCAGTGCGCTCTACATGCCTTGCCAGTGTGGATGCGTCATGAGATAGGGCACCAGGGGCTGCTTTAATGCGCTCTAACTCGCAAGTATAGCCAAGCCCTAAGACAGATTTGAAAAAAGTACTCTGTTTTATTTAGCATTAGATTACAAATACCCTGCACTCTTTGCTGGAAGCTATTGGAGAAGTGTTTGCCTTGAAGAATGTTTCTGTTAAGAAAATGAGAAAAGAGCTTAGTTTCTGTCTTCTTTGTGAAAGCCTGATTGTCACAGCAGTTTTAATAGTCTCAATTTCCGATAGTTGTGTGTTTTTGTGTATTTATCACAACATGGTTTGCAGTAGATAGCAGGCTGCTTAGCAGACTCTGTAAGCTATCTGTCCAGCTAAATAAACATCTAAATGGGGAAAGCAGCATGCTTCATTGGGCTATCTGTTGTTAAAACTGATTGAATGGAATTTGTAGTTTAATTTGTTTTAAATTTCTTATTAATTTGCTGGATCTAGGTGCTTGTTCAGCTGTTAAAATAGAGTTACAAAAATAAAAATAACACATATATACTGAACTGCCTATACAGAAACACAGTAATATCAATTACCCAACATCTGATCAAGCTTTGTAGTATACCTTGAAGACTTACAAATTCAGACTGTTGAACTAGAGGGGCATATGCTCCAGAGCTGAGGATGCATTAGGAAACTGACCAGGGGAATGATGGCTTGAGTGTCTTCACTGATTGCAATGTTGATGATGTCAGACATCAATTTTGGAGTAATGTGGTTCAGAAAACTAGTACTTTATAGGTTAAAACCAGCATCTTAAACTCCACCTGGCTGGATTACAGAGTACCAGTGTTATGTGTGCTGTGTGATATATCATTCACTAAGCAAGGACCCGTGTCCTGTACTAAGTTCAGTTTCCAGATGGTCTTGTGATATAGTCACGTCCAAGTAGAATGCCTTGCAATAGTCTAGGCTTGAGATGAGACAGGCATGGATTATTTTAGCAGCAAGGTTTGTTTCCAAAATTCAAGGCCGCAGCCTTCCTGTCATCAGTAGATGTGGGGAACAGGACATAGCGCAGCAGGGAGCACTCTTGGCTAAAACTGTTAGGGCAATCAAGGATCTGAGACCCCCTAAATTGCTAACCTGTTTAAACAAATTGTAGATTTGCCCTCTATCAGAGGTGCTATGATATGATACGGTCAGCTCTTCTGGTTGTTTCATTAAACTACCAGACATTACCTCAGTCTTGACTAGATTGAACCTCAACCACCTAGTTCTCACTCAAGCCCTAATTTAATTAATTCCTGGCAAAGTCAGACCACTGTTGATGTGGAACTGGCATTCTCAGCTTATTAAAGGCACTGCAGTCTATGTCTCCTCGCTCTCCTTCTCAATGTGCTTGCATGCATTTCGTACAGGCAGGGACACAAGATGGAATCCTTCAGCACCCCATCTGACTGAGCCCTCAGGGCAGAAGAGCCTTCACCCAAAACAATCTTATAGGACTTCTTGCACAAAAGTAGCTGAGCTATTCAAGATGACTCCATCTAACCCTGGTAGGCACCACAGACATTTCAGCAATCCCTCATGGTCAGTTAAATTAAAGATCTAAACAAAAGGGTCTCTACCTTTGTTATATACTGACCGCATGTGACAACAGAAATATTTCAGGACTTCACCCCCCCCCCCCGCATCTAGCCATAAAGAAATGAAGGGTGGTTGTGACCCCAAGGTCAAGAACCCATGACTGAAAGAGTTACCTTTGTTGATAGCTATGATGACGTCCTTGGCCAACATGATCAGTACGGTTTCTGCCCCATAACCAGCCCTGAATCCTAAGTGAATGGGGGGAAGAAAACAAACATTGCCAGAGTTGCCTCACCACAGTTGCTTCAACAAAGCTTTTTCCAGAAGGAAGATCATGCAGATATAGATACTTAGAAAGATTGTCAGTGTCAAAAGATGGCTGCCTGAGCAGAGGCCTTGCAGTGCCTTCCAAAAAACCCCAGCTGGTATCCTGCCTACCCACGCTGCCAAAGGGGATATTGACTTTTCAGGCCAACAGAAGGCCGAGATGGCCTTCACCAACCAGTAAAGGATGAGGTTCTATTTCATAGGCTAAAACTCATAGTTCCTCAGCTCCTACAAAACCTCAGTGAGCAGCATTTGCTGAATTGCAGAGCATGTGAACCCTGAAGATATTGCTCTGGTACTATAAAACTGACAGGTCAGTCCAGAAGTGAGTAGGTTTAATGACGAAGTAATATGAAAATTCCTCACAATGAGAAAATCTTGACTCTGTAACGGAGTTATTTTATTATTTGTATTATGGTAGCACTTAGAGGCCAAACCAAGAATGGACCCTGTTGTGCTAGGCAATGTGCAGGTGATTGCTTGCATGCTACACAGGCAAGACCAACTCTTTGGGAAAGGGTTAGAGGGTAAATAGAGGGACCATGAAATGACTTGCCCAAGGTCATGCATGTTGTCAGTAGTAGAGCTGGACTACTCTACTAGTAGTAGAGTAGTCCACTGGACTATGCTGCTTCTCAACAGAGCAGAGATAATATGTAAAATAAAATCCTCATTGTGTCTAGACATTGCCAAAGTGCCAAAGGGTAACTAGGATACCTGATTTGCTTAGTATTTGTCAGAAAACTCAGTCTTGAGGGTTCAGGACCAAAACACAATGCTATAAAAACTGACATCTAAATGAATGGGGAGCAATAGAGAAACAGATTCTGGATTTTGTTAAGAAATACATATGCGAGATTTTCATTTTTGATCCTACTCGAATAGCTGATCTCTAATTTTTTCAAAGGAATGCTCTTCATTCTTGTCAGGAGCTGTAATTATTCCCTCCCTCCCTCCCACTCTTCAATGGGGCCTTGAAACACAGCCACCATATTTCTGGCTAAAAAAGGATGTGATGCTTTTTCAGAACCTATTAATGTCACTCCCTGTTTGATGGCAGCAAGGCAATGAAAGGGAGCTGCTTCTACCCTCCTTTTTTGTATTTCTAGCCACTGCAGGCCAAATGTGTGAGAATTTAGGATTGAAAATGAATGTTTCCCTCACATTGGCTATCAATGGAGCTTTCTTCTCGTATATTAAAGAGCTAAAGAATCTTGTTTTGTCTCTAAATTAAGTTTCGATGCTAGCTAGACAAGACAGTGCTGTGTATTTTATCTAGCTTTTTAATTAAAAAAAAATACAGTTAAAAAAGATGAATTAAACTACTATTAATTGCCTTTAGGTGCCCTAGAATGAACAAAAAAATATACAGATTTCAAAGCAGAAGTATATAATTTATGTATCTAGCTTTGGAAAAATAGGTAAAATCTTTGAAGCAAGAACAGTTACATTGCTCAGCGCTATGCGGAGTGCCCTCAATACCTATTAGCGTCAATAAGCATTGACTGTGCTCAGCACTTTACAGGAATGGGCCATTAAGAAGAAATGTAAGTGTTGAGATGGGGAGGAAATATAAAAAAACAAAGATTTTAATGAGTTAATGTTCTTTTCCAGATCACATTTTTATGTTGAAATTTATGTAATAGTGGTTTCATTTCAGGGAAAAAGTCCAAATCTTCTCGTCCTGAATCCCCTACAACAACTCCAAACATATCAGTGAAAAAGAAAAACAAAGATGGAAAGGGTAAGTGTGATGGTTTGAGTAGAATGTTTGTCTTCAGTGTTTTAAATTGAAAACTGAATCTGGGTAACATAAGAATGAAGCCTACCAGCTTTCTCAGTATGCAAAAATAAATCTTGTGTTGCCACGCACTCAGAAGACATGGTTGCCACCTTCTATGAAAGCAGAGAGGAGGCAGGGAGAGGGTGGAAAAGTGCAGAAAATCCCTTTGGAAGATACTCAGTTCCTGGGAGGAATAATCCATTCTTCAGCTTATTAACAGGATCTTGGGAGATCTTCAACCCCCCACAAACGCTTCTCTGTTTCAGGTCAAGTCTAGAGGGATGCTTTGCATTGTAGTAGTGTTTCTTGGGATGCTGTTGCATCAACAGCTGATATTTGGAAACATTTTTCATCTGCCTGTTTCTAAATCTGCATAAGGAGATAATCAAAGCTTACAGTTGGGTGGCAGGAAGAGCAGTCCTCTTGTTTAAGAAAAAAGTGAAGCCACCAGAAGAAAGGTGTCACAGAAAGTTCCCTGATAATCCCTCTTCTGCTATCTCAACTCTCGCCCACCTCCCATTAATAAAATCAAAACCAACAGCTAACAGAGAATATAATTTGATAGCATGAATCATTTTATTTTATAGCAAACTATTCATCAGAATCATCCTGTTTTTGCCAATGGATCCTAATATTCTTCAGTTGTTTTCTTGTTTGGCATGGCATAAGCTATTATTTACTGCACATATTATATGTAATTGTTAAAACATGAAAGTAAGGATATCTTGAACCTGTGAAGAATCATCCTGCGGGCCCCAATTCAGCAAAGTACTTAAGCACCTGCTTAATTCCCAGTCAGTAGAGTGGTACTGTAGTGTATATTTAACTGCTTTGCTGAACAGGACTGGACTTGAGTTCTTTGCTGATTCAGAGCCAAAGATGGCAAAATAATAATGTTCTGTTAAGAAATAATTCAGTTGGAATGGAAGAATAGTCACGTGTAGGAATTCTCAACCCAAAATTACAGTCTGTTCAGAAAGTAACAGGCACTCAGTTCCTGGAGCTTTGTTGTATTTGTGACTTAAATAAAAGTTAAGAAATTAATATAACTGTGCATTTGGGGGAGTTTATATCTCCTGAAAGACTTTATTTATTTCTTTTAGGAAATACAATTTATCTTTGGGAGTTTCTCTTAGCACTGCTCCAGGACAAAGCTACGTGTCCCAAATATATCAAATGGACTCAGAGAGAAAAGGGCATTTTTAAACTGGTAGATTCCAAGGCTGTGTCCAGATTGTGGGGAAAGCACAAAAACAAACCTGATATGAATTATGAAACAATGGGCAGAGCTCTCAGGTATGTGAGTGTTTAATAGTTGATTATTTTTGTCACAACATTTTCATATATTGAAAGCTCGCTGTAATCTGTTTAACATCTGTGAAGGGCTTTTTCCTAAGATGAGCTCCAGTTTTTGAAATATGAAGCTGTTTTTTTTGAGGGCAGGGGCGCAGGGGAAGGAGGGAGAGGTGGCGGGGAGGACTAAAGAAATCTAAAAGTTAAAAGCATAATTTGAAGTTTCTACAGAGCAAACTATACAGTAGAAGATTAAAAAAAGATTAGGATATATACTGATGTCCAATGACGAATCTGCTTTATTGGCAGAAATTTGTTTTGTGGGGTTAACAAAGTGCTTAAAGTGCAAGTATATGTAATTCTGTAGAAATCCTGCAAATTCAGAGCTTTCTTTTTTATTGGGTCTAGATTTTTTTACACTTCTTTAATATGGATAATATTGGATTGATTGTTTTAAATGAATGCAACTTTACTGAAGAGGCAAAATATCTGATTTATGTATAGTAAGCTGTACAACTTGCATGGAGTGTGGTTTTTTATGCTTTGCACATTTAAAGAAATAGAGGTAAATCATCCCTAACCTAAAAAAATTAGTGACGCCCATTGCAAATGAAGCACCTTCACTTCTATTGTAAAAACTATTGTAAAACTAATAAATTCAATACAATCATTTCCATGGTCAGTTACCCAAAGCATTACTGGTAACTGATATATCTCCCACAGTAGTTAATAATGTAGGATGATTTGAGAAGCCAATACTTCCTCAAGACCAAGCACAGGCAGTTTCAGGAGACTGAAAAGTCTGAGTGACAAGCCTTTACAACAAACTTCCATAAACTAAACTTAAAGATGACCATCAAATTATTTGGACTAATTGTATTAACTTTAATATGTGCCAAATGACCCAGTTTCAAATCCAAGCTATGAGGGTGTTCTGCCCCAGCAGAATTCAGGTCTGTGCATACTTCCCCAATTTGCATGTACAGATGACTAGAAAAGGATTTAATCATATATGAGTACTTGTGCAAACTGGAAACTTGCTCATACAGAAAAGTTTGTGCAAAGTAGGTGAGCAATTGCACAACCATATATGGATGCAAGCCTAATTTTAAAACATTTTCCCTATTGTTTGGAGATTCTAAGCACTACTGTAATAAAAAATTTGCTTAAAGCACTCTCCCCACCCCAACCCTCTATATTTTTGCACCTTTATTGTAAGTCAATTTGTAAACACAATGGAAAGTAATGTTTCCCTATCCCCTCCCCTTTGCTCTACAAGAACCTTATAGTGATATGTAATTTAGTTCTTTATATAGTCTATATATTATGCACTTTATATAGTAAAGAAAGAATTTGAATATTTGACAGAGATGGGAAATTTGAGGCAAGATATTGCCATTTTACCAGGATTATCAAAGTGTCATTTAACACTAGGCATTGTGATAAAACAAATAATAATATTGGTATCGTGAAGTGCAAGTTGCTTTGAGTGATATATAATATGTCTCCCTCCTTGAGCATAAAGAAGGGTAACAGAAAATGTCAGTAGGCAATGATTGTTATTTAGATTTATAAACAAAAACCCCTCCACTTCATTGCTGATGATGATTTGTCTTTTTTCATAGCCAATTATGCTATATAACTTGTTGATGTATGTGCCTGCTTTGAACAGATACTATTACCAAAGAGGTATACTGGCTAAAGTAGAAGGTCAGCGTTTGGTGTATCAGTTTAAAGAAATGCCGAAAGATCTTATCTACATAGATGATGAGGATCCGAGTCCCAGTACCGAGTCTTCAGATTCCTCTTTATTGTCAACAACTGTGACTAATAGAAACCAATCAGGCAGATCTAGAGCATCTTCTAACACAGGAACAAGAGGAGGATCCACCACAGTTCTAAAAACAACAGGGAACTCTAAGTCTACTAAACTTAAGGACCCCGTGGAAGTTGTACAACAGCAGATACCTGGTTTTACAACTGATGTTTTGAGGACAATGCAATCTGCACAGCCAATACATCCAACTCAGCTTTTTCGGACAGTTCATGTAATGCAGCCAGTGCAATCCATCGCAGAAGGACATGCAACTGTAGCTAGTAACATGCAGGATGAAACATTACATTCCTCTGTTCAGAATATAAGGTAAGAAAATGTAAAGGAAGTTGATTTATGAACATTTTCACGATCCAATGTGGCTGTTTTCTATTTTGCCACATTGCTCTCCTCTTAATTCAGTTATTGTGATATGAAGACAGTGTGAATGATCAATAAATTGGTCTGGTTTTTTTGTTACATTGTAAAATGGGTACTCTGCTAAGACACTATATTTAGGAAAGGGAAGAAAATTGCAAATCTTAATTCTGCAGCATTACAGTAGCAAAGAATCTTTAGGACTTTGAGAAGAAAGCAGAAAAAAGTTAACATTCTTGACAACACTGATTTCTCTTATTTGGTTCCTGTGCCACTGTTAAGTTTATTAATTCTGCTTTTACTCAGCATTTTCAACATTAACCCAAACAATGTGTGTTTTACATTAATACTTTTTAAAAAGAATTTTCTTGGGATTTAATTTCATTCTTGACATACCCATCGCCTTATAAATTGTAGTGTGTCGTCTCTTTCCTCTTTTTGTTCCACCTATTAACAGAGATAACAGGGCAAAGCACTAAAGTGGCACCCCACTGTCATTGTTGGAACAGCACCCAGTATGCTTCCATACCTCTTCTGTTTATAAAAGATAGTTATCAGTATGGCCTTCTGAGACTTTTACGTGTTTACTAATGTTGGGGGAGACCGTCACATTTCAGTGCAGCCCTTAACTGGTAAGTTAGACACTAATCAAGTACCTTTATGTTACTGTTTTGCACCTTCAAGTCATTGGTGGTGTATTGACTAGAGATGCCTCAAGAACAATCACTTAGAGCTATACCACACTGAAAGATTATTTTGTAATTCTGGAGTTGCAAGGAAGGAACCGTCTTACTTAAAATCTTTAAAAGAACAATATTGAGTTGGGTGTATATATTTTTTTCTCGTTTAAAATTCGATATTATGAAACGTCCCCAGCACTTTAGTCCACATTTTACCATTAAGTGACACTAGTGCTATTTCCCTCTCTTTTTTCTTCTCTCCCCCTTAAAAACATTATTCAGAAGCATCTTATCAAATTCTGATTTGCATGAATAGACCCACATGATTCTCTGCGACTGAAGCATGGAACTCTGACAAATTTAAATCAGTAACATTAATCTGATCACAACTCCATTTCTCAGTTTCAAGAAGATGATTTTATTCTTTCATCTCTCTGTGCTGAGAGAAGGATTTTTTAAAGGTAAACAATAATGAAATCACCACTGATCTAAAAGGAGGAGAGACTGCATCCTGAGTGGCAGAGTAGCCAGGTTTTTAAGCACTGATGTCTACAGCTGGGTTGTTCAGCCCCCACAAACTAATAGAATATAAAGGAGTCAATAAGAAGTTTTAAGGAGACACAGAGAATAGTCAGAAAACTGTGGATTTTCCATATATGTATATATGAAGTGGCAGACCACGACTATAGTCTCAAACCAGAAAAATGATTTTATGTTACTTATTGTTTGCTTGGAATAAACGTAGTTTTAGGTAATACACATGATCCATAATCTCGCTGCTAATTGTTCTAAAAGAAATGTAATTATAAAATGTTTTCTCTCCCATGTTGCTATATGAAAACCCCACATAAATCAGGGGAAATTCACTAGCCAATGGACTATGTAGGGGAAACAGCAATTAGTGAAACTATCTCCAAAGGGTTGTCAAATGAACAAAGTAAACAAATCTAAAAAACATTTTTCTCTGATATTTCAGTTATATTAATAAGTTATCTTTAAAATTAGTGAATAAAAACAGAATTATGATTTTCAAGTTGATGCTATCCATTTTAACACTCTTTTTCATTCTTAATTTCGGTGAAGCTTGTATGTTAGAACCATTTCAAAATGTACTTAAGGGAGAGAAAAGGTACATGTGATCCAGAAGTTTAGATAAATGTAATCATGGAGAATTTGGCAGGATTTAAAAAAGAAAGTTGATGAAAGTAGATTTAAAAAAAAGTAGATGGCTGCTTGCTTTCCACAAGACAAAGCAACTTCTGAGGGAAGTTTATTTATACCATATAAGATGAAGTTTTGAACTGAATTAAACACTAACATTTAGCATAAAAGTGAGAGACAATTTAAAGTTAGTCTCTCTTAGTGCTGTGTTTTTAATATTCTTTCATACACCAAAGAGCTTTAAAGCCTAATTGCAAAGCCATTAAATGCTGTATAACAATATGACTTCAGAGATAACTAAGGATTTAATTATTCATCAGTCTCAAAAAGTGACTCAGATAATATAGAGGAAGCAAATGGATGAAGAAATAAATGACTGAGGTCATGCAGTGACATCTAAGTCAGGAGAACAATGCTATGAAACATTAATAGGGAAACAGTACAGCGATTTGTAGAGTAAGAAGGATACCCATACTGAGCCATTTCAGGATTACCTAGCAAAAACTTCCTGAACAATCTGCAAGATTTAATCAGGAGGGCAGGGAAGCAAAGACAATAATGCATCCAAAAGTTGCAAAACTACATGTTGCTATTTCAACATCCTGTTGTGTTTAAAATATTTCACAACTGGACTGTGGGCAGTAGTTTTAAAGGAGAAAAGGAGGAAGTAGCAGTAACACTAGCATGAAGCTCAAATGAAACAACAGAGCCCTTAAACTCTGTCTTAGACTCCCATATTACAATGATGGGCAGCTGTTTTTATTTTTTTTACGCATAATGTAGAAACATTTCTGTGGTTTATGCTTTGCTAGATATAATGACAAATCCAAGACACTCAGATTAAAGGGAAAAATGATCTGGTCTAGTCAATATAATACATAATTAATTGTAACAGGTTTAGTAATTGATAACCAAAAAAAAAAGCAAGTATTCTAGCTGCAGAGGTGCATGGGGGATCAACACTAGAAATACATTTTAAAAGTTTCCATCTGACAATGGCGGACTAGGTAAGCTGTAAATTGAGGGGCGGATATTTTTAGTAAAAGTCATGGACAGGTCACAGGCAATAAACAAAAATTCACAGCCCATGACCTGTACATGACTTGTACTATATACCCCTGACTAAATCCTGGGGCAGGGGGGGATCCCAGGGGGCACCAAGCGTGCTGGGGGGTGGTGGCCCGGGGGCGCTGCAGGACTCCCACTGGTTCTGGGGTGGGGGCGGATGATGGTGTGTGGCCCAGGACCCCACCTGGTGCTGGGGGGGGCAGGGAAGAGCATTGGTGGGGCTGGCTCAGGCTCCCTACCTGGCTACCTGCCTCCCCAGAAGTGGCAACATCCCCCTCCCTCAGCTCCTAGGCGGAGGCATGGCCAAGGAGCTCTGCGCACTACCTCCACCCCAAGTGCTGGCCCTGCAGCTGCCATTGGCCGGGAACTGCGTGCAGAGCTGCCTGGCCATGGCTCTGCCTAGGACCTAAGGGAGGGGGATGTCGCCGCTTCTGGGGAGCCCTGGAGTTAAGTGCTGCCCAGAGCCCTCACCCCATCTCCTGCCCCAACTGCCTACCCCCGCCCCCTTCCACACCCAAACTCCTGCTGTTACGGAGGGGAGGGGGAGCTCAGTGGCTTGAGACTGCCCTAGCAGCAGCTGGTGCGATTGGCCCAGGGGCTGCCTGAACTGCTCAGGCAGCCCCCGGGCCAGGTGCACCAGCCACTGCAGAAGTCACGGAGATCCCGGAAAGTCACGGAATTCGTGACTTCAGTGACCAATGTGACAAACTCGCAGCCTTACTGATGAGCCATACAAATTCACTGGATGTTCCTGGCTGGTTACAGTTGATCTAGGATATATCTCAGGTCCAAATTCAAAAAAACTAAATGTCCTTGTAAAGTTTTACCAGGGCAGTCTTGGGAGTTTTGATGAGATTGAAAACATTTAATTTTTTTCTGAAATGTACATTTTAGGGTCTCTCTCTAGTAAGGTTCAAAACAGTTGTTTTTTTCAGATACATTTATAGCTATATCAGTTTGTACCCATACTCATCATTTCCTTGTAGGAACCTCCATAAAGGATCAGATCTACAGGTAGTCTAGTGTCATGCCACATACAACAGACAGTAAGAGGAAGGTGCCAGGAATTCCATAATGAACACAACCTACTCTGTGGAAGTTTTTCTGAGCCCTACATTTTAGTGGTTGGCCTATACCTTGAAGCATGAGGGGTTTTATTCTTTTTAATTTCTTTATCCTGTCTAATGTAACTTTTGGATTGTGTTATCCACATAAATGTCTCATCCTCTTTAGAATCCTGCTAAGCACTTAGCTTTAGTAATATTTTTTGGCAAGAATTCTATGTGGTTATCTACCTGTTGTGTAGAAAAGTTTTTTTTCTTTTTTAAAGTTTAAATTAGTGGCCTCTTTAATAAAAAGAAAAGGAGTACTAGTGGCACCTTAGAGACTAACTAATTTATTTGAGCATAAGCTTTCATGAGCTACAGCTTACTTCATCGGATGCATGATGAAGTGAGCTGTAGCTCACAAAAGCTTATGCTCAGATAAATTGGTTAGTCTCTAAGGTGCCACTAGTACTCCTTTTTCTTTTTGCGAACACAGACTAACACGGCTGCTACTCTGAAACCTGGCCTCTTTAATATTTTCCAACTGCCTTCTGAGCAGTAGTCTGTAGCATGCAGCGTTTCTGCTAATGGGTTTATTTTAAGAAAAGAAAACGGCCTACACTTGACATGATAGTTATATTAGCTACAATCATGTTTGAAAACTATTGTCAAACTAGATTTGTGCCTGACCGACCTTTTTTTAAATGTGGCTGTAGCTAGTCCGTTCTTTTCCCAGCTGAGGACAGAACTTTTCAGGGACAGGATTGCAGCTCTTCTGTCATGACCTTTTCCATTTTCTCCAAGAAAAGTAGATACTACAAACTGAAGTGCAGTTAAAAACATAGGGCTTAATTCTTCCAAAGGTGTAAGGCAATATTGTTGTTTGTACTTGTAGAAAATGGGTATAAAATGTGTAAATGAGTTAAAAATTCAGATTTGATAGCATTCTACACCTGCGCATAGGTGCTGGTCCTGGGGGTGCTACTGCACCCCCTGG